AGACAATTTAAGGTCAAAGAACTCAATGTTTTATTACAATATATCTCAGAAATTTGGAATTTTTCAATTACGAAAAGCTTTGGATATATTGAGCTTAGAATGTTGTGAAAAAGGTGATTACTTCTGGAAGAATGTTCATATTCCAAAGTTCAAAAGTTGATTTAATGAAATCTGTCCACTCTTAGCCTTTGAGTTAGCTCTATATCAGAGGAGAGGCAAGATAAGACAATATGATTCCACATAGTCTAAGTTTAATTCACTGTTTAAAAATTGAATTATAATGATGACATTGAAAATGTAATTAATTTCAATATTTGAATAGCCTAATATTTTATTAATGCTTTCTCTTTTTTCTTTTTTGTTTAAATCAAATCAACCCTTATTGCTGTCATTAACCAATATAAAGGACATATAACAATAGGCCTACATGAGACTAAAAGGGTTAAAATACATTACAGAGGGTCAGTATAAAACAGTAATTTTAACTAAGAGAAATAAAGATAAAAAGCTTTTAGGCCTTAGTAGACTTAAGGATAAAACTAAAAGGATTAAGGGGGAAGGTATAAAACAGAAATTTTAACTAAAATAATATTTTATGTTAAAAAGCTTAAGTTAAAATATGAGTGATTTTAGCTAATGAAAAAGTAAATCAGTCCTAAACTTAGTGTAGGAGTAAGCTATATCTCGTAGACCATAATCAAGCAGGTTTGGCTTGAAGTGTCATATTTAATATGTAGCCACACAGAACCTGGCCATATTGCATGTTGTCTCATGGTTGGTGTCAGACAGCAACAACTGTACATATTGTTAGATGGTAAGCAAAATAATTAGGGCTCTGCAGGGTTCCCTGTAAATTGACCATAGAGTAGGACATGCTCAACAGATTCTACCTCTCCTGCTTGGCAGGCAGGGGCATATCCATAATCCTCTGGCCTCTATTTTCCAGCAGTACAAAGGGAAGGTGTTGCATTGGGCTGGGGAGAAGGCCGTTCTCTGGCTCAGGACGTCAAATTGTATGAGGTGTACAGCTGGTGCCAGGAAGTCAGCTGTGAAGGATATTGCCCACATCAGTTTGTTGTTCTGTATCAAACGGGCTTAGATCTATTTTTCTAATTTTGTTGGTAAGTTTTTTCTTTTTCTAGGGTTTTTTTTCTCTTGATTTTCCATTCCTGAAGGATACTCCCACTTAGAGTGCATTGCAATAATCAAGTTCACCAATGGTTGTAGCCATTTCATTAGATCTAATTAAGCAAATACATTCCTTGCCACTGCTGCTATCTGAGAATCCAGAAACAGATAGATGTCAAAAGAGATTTTCTAATACAGACCTGCTCTTTCAGGCAGAGTCCAACCATATCCACAGCAGGCTGGACTCCAATCCCAGAGCCTGATTTCCCACTGTGCAACAGCACATCTATTTTGTCTGAATTTAATTTCAGCTTGTTCACCCTCATTAACCCTGTTACTGATCTCAGGTACTAGAAATCAATTGCTTTCTTGAGTTAGATGGTAAGGGATAGTACATCTGGATATCATCAGCATATTGTTGGCACGTCACTCCAAAGATCTAGACTTTTCTCAGTAGTTACACATAGATGATGAATAACATTGGAGATGAGCCAGAAATCTGTTGTACTTCGTAAAAAAATTCTTATGGCTTAGTAGTCATCCAGTATTACCTGACACTAAAGACCAGGATCATAGTTAAAAAAAAGTATCCATAATATCCAGTTCTGACAAATGGTGCAGAAGAACATATGTGCAAGAATATTAAAAAAACCTTCAAACATTCTAAGACAACTTGCAGGACCTTACTCTTCCCATCCAATTCCTGCATAGATCATCTACCAAAGTGCATAAAATTTCAGTTACATATCTAAAAGCCTCTCAGAAATTCTGTAGGTCCAAAAAATCATTAGCCATCATTAGTTGTAAGGCCATCATTTTCTCTATCATCTTAGCCAGAAATGGTGCATTTGAACCTGACTGAAATGTCAGATTTTCCAGGCCAAGGAAAGGTTTCTTCAATAATAATCTTATTCCTGTACACATTCCTCCTACAAGGAACATTAATTCACTTTCTTAAACATGGGATTCTATTGGCCAATTTAGTTGTCCAGGAAGGGAAAAAATCAAGTAAGCTTATCCCTTTCCAGACATCCTGTTTGCATCATTGCAAATAATAGTTATTTATTCATCAAACTCTGCCTGAGTCCAAATTAAGGTGGACCTGAGCAACTTTATCCACCAAGAATCTTACAAACTGCTCACAATGAGCCACTCTAGTTACTCCTCTCCAGCATCCTGGGGGAAGGACCCTTTCATAGCACCATCCTCTTTTGTGCGGAGAAGTAACCTCTCCATCACCACATAATAACATTCCAAGTAGACTTTAGTCCATGCCTGGTCCAATTTCCCTCAATAATTATTTCATTCCATTCTCTCCCTCCCCCATTTCCATTCATTCCTCTCTCAGCTGCCTATTAAATTAGGATCTGATTTAGCTCTAAGGAAGTGGAAGGAAGTGTTCAGGAATGGTAGCATCTACTGTCCCAATTCAACCAAAACTTCAACTGTGTTACAGATAGAGGCAAGAAACCCTGAAATACATTTAGGAAATAATTCAGATTGCTCAGGTGCCTGAAGAAGACCATTTTAAATAGTCCCCTATTTGTGCAGTCAGCAACCACCCTAAAGCTGACAGTGTAGTTACACAGAACTCTTCCACTCCCAGATCAGCAACTCCACTGGAAGAAACACCAAATGTTGAATAATGCACTACTGCATGTTGGGGATGAGATTGGTCCATGGAACCCTAACATTTCATTCCTATCACCATTTCTTTGAGAGTACGCAGTGAATTTAATAAGGCTTTGTTTTGAATAGATATGTGAACAATTATACTACACATCAGCTGGTATAATCACAGGCAATTCTTTTAAAATAAGCTCCTGTAATGTACACATTACCTTTTTCCTTAATAAGCAAATAATGGAACCTTTCTTCTTCATGTATGCTGCTGAAAAAGAATACCTCTAATCCCCAGTAGGGATAACACGTAGTAGCCACTACTCTAGATTACTTTCTACAGAATTCCTAATTTGTTCAGTGATTAGGTGAATTAGAAGATAGTGTAAGTAATGTAGGATGGCCTTGGAAGGGAAGAACTGTTAGGGGAGGTGAAATGGCAACTGAGTCCTGGGAAAGTAGAAAGCATGAGAAAAACTCAAAATAGCCTCAACTTGATTCTGTTTGGTCTAAGATGGGGTTGAGAGAAACTCTTAACAGGCTTTCAAGATTCTTTTATTATACCCTATAACAATAAAGTAGCATTCTTGGAATCCTTGTGGTGTCTTTCCAGAACTACTTTGAAGCTCTACAGCATTCCAGGGTAGAATCCAGCTAAAAGATTGGAGCCTTTCAGTGTGGAGGACAAATGTTCCTGGCACAGACTGACAGGGATACAGTGATCCTGCAGAACTCTGGCTAGGTGTTGGAGCAGAAAGTTGCTGAGAACTATGGTGAGGGGAAGAAACTTTGACAGCGTGTGCATTTTTATGCATAGGGCTGAGGTATTGTAACTATTAACAGGCAGCCTCAATATCCATATGACTAAAGTGGTGAGTTTTAGTTCAATGATAGTAATAGTGTAGGCCCTATCTATGTTATTTTCAGTGGGAAAAGAGGTGACCAGAAGTCCTAGTGTTCCCAATCATGGCACAGAGATCACTGTTTTAGGGCACAGATTTAAACAAAGCAAGAAAATTTACAAGTATCATAGCATTAAGCAAAACATGAAAGGCCTGAAGTTAATAAGTATAGATCTTGCCATAGTATGCAAGAGAAAATGAATCATAGAGTTTGAAGGTACCGTGGAGGTCATCTAGTTCAACCCCTACTTAGTGTAGAATCTTCTAAAGTATTTTGGACAGACGGCTATGCTGCCTCTGAAGACCTCCAATGAAGGCCATATTCCTGTCAGGAAATTCTTCCTAATATTTAATCAAAATCTATTTCCATATACTGTAGTTTCAACTCACTGGTTCTGGCCCTGCTGTCTTCCAACAAGTCTTCTCCCTCTTCTATATAACAGTCCCTTAGATATTTGAACACAGCTATCACAGTTCCCATCAGTTTCTCTTCTCTAGACTAAGCATAATCAGTTCCTCATAGGACTTGGTTTCCAGTCCCCCCACCATCTTGACAGCCTTCTCTGAATATGCTCTGTTTTGTTGATTTTCTTTTAATTTTTTAATTTTTAACTTATCAGATGTATATGGCTAACTCTGGACAGCCAACACAATAAAAACATCAATAATATAATAACATAAAAAGAAAGCAAAAAACATGGCCACCAAGGATAAACTAGTCAACAGCAAATTTGTACAATTCCTGAGCAAAACTACCTCCCAACCCCCATGCCTGAGAGAATCCCCATAGATTTGTAATCTACATTAATCAGAAGTTGTCATTTCCTCATTATGTACTCATGTTCCTTAGGTATGAAGATTTAACAGTCTTCACTGGCAGGATGATTAAAAGCTCTGTAGGACTAAAATAAATCTTTATTAGTTTTGTTTTGTTTCGTTACCCTAGCTATACAATTGATGGAGGTGGACAGGGCAGGAATAATGTTTGAAAATAAACTAAATAATACATTGTCTACAATGGGACCAACTCTTAACAAAAGAGTTTCCTGTTCTAAAAAATATAGTAGATCAATATAAGAAGAACTATCTTCAAAATTCTCATCTGCAATTTAAATCCTTACATTCAAAGCATAGAATTATCACCTCAATGAGGTATACAGTAACATGTACAAAGTACTTTCATATAGAGGATCATTGTCATATTCACAGTAAAGAGCTGAATAATTCTTGTTTGCAGGGTGGGAGAAAGCAACAGGAAGGAAACTTCTCTTGAACAATGGGAGGAAATGTAAGAATTGAGTTGGGGGGGGAGCAACAGCCAAGTAGTAGCAGGAGTTGCTTCATTTGTGGGAAGTTATCCGTTTCTGGACTGTTCTCCAAATAGGAATTTGAAGGATATCTTACAGCTCTTCTGTTGCATGATCAACTGTAAATACTATTAGTGAACAGCAGGATAAAGAAGGGTAAGTGTTGCATGTCAATATATCCAGATACATATCCAGATGACACACTCAAGATCCAGCTTTTCTGCATAGAGAAAAACAACGAGGTTTCCAGAACAGCAGGAAAGAAGTGGCAGGGATTATCAAGGCACCCTGATAAAGGATCATGGCTAGGAAACTGTTAAAAAGCTTCAAATCTTGTCATTACCATGATTCCACCATGTAATATTTTAATTGTTTGAATGGTCTGCCAGTATGGGTAGTCAGCATGACTAATGGTGAGCAAAGCTATTCACTGTAAATTTAGCTACAATTTACAAAATTAGTTTTATCTGTTCTGGGTTGCTGCACAGATAATCATGACCAGAACAAGAGCAAGAATTGAAAAATATTTAGGAAGATGGTAAAAGCACTTTTATTCTGTCAAGGATATAATTGTTAATTATTTTAATGTCTAATTTTAATTTTGGTTTTGATTTTTGTTGCATTAATTTTGTTTTGTCTCATAAACTGTATTTTTTATTGATGTAAGCTATCTTGATCACTGGAATAAACAGAAAGGTGGGGTATAAATTCAATAATAAATAAATAGCAGTATTCTCCCATAGGCTACCATGAGAAAAATATAGGAAACATTTGTTTCGTTTTTCAACAGAATGAGTTGTCATTGTTTACAAGGCAATGAAGATGTAGAAATAGTTACATAAATTCTGAGTTATGCTCCTTTAAAATCTGTTGAATAAAAAAAAAAGCCTGTTACCTTTGTGACAGAATGCAAGCCCCTTGTAAGGAACATTCATGCCAGATTTCTCAAAGACCAGTTTTCAGGTTTTGTACAAAAATAAATGGTATTTATAAGGAAAGATGATGCCCCTTCCTGAAGGTGATAGAGCTGATGGCTAGGTTTAAACTGGAAATTTTAAGTGATTAACTCATTGGACTTGTCCATAAAATAAATTAGTCACTAGCCTAAAGTTGCTCACAAAACAGTGGGGGACAGTGAGTGGAAGAAATGAAAAACCTAAGCTTTTGGGGACTTAGATGACCAATGATAGTCTGATCTGAAGGGTTACTAATTTTACAGCAATCTTGCCACCCACTACCCCAATGATATTTTATAGCAAGGTTACTATTCTTTGCAATATGCAGAAGCTCTATAGAAATAGTTTGGCATAGAAGTTTCATGGAGTTCAGAATAAAAACATTAAACAGGTTCACTTGTCTTGTCTTGGCCAAACTGATGCACAACAGTATTTAGGAGTATAGGAGTTGAAAAAGGATGGATAGAACTGTGCTTAAGCTGAAGTTAGACTTTTTCTTATCTCTTAGTTGCTCAAGCAACCTCTGGTGTAAGAAAGACATAATAAATTGCTGTAAATGTTTGTAATTATGTGATTTTATAGCCTGCCTTTCTACTCAGAGTACTCGAGTGAGTACTCATTAGTATATAGATTATAATTGTTACGTTATAAATAATATACTATAATATAAGAATTTGGGATGATTTGGCAAGGTATTAGGATTTTAAATGTTTGTTTGTTTCTAAACCATTTTATAGCCAAAGCTTCTGTGCCCTGGCTCAGAAAATGCCTGACCTTTGTACAAAATGGGGTCATTTAGGGCTAAGGCATTTAATTCACTCTTTCCCTGATTTAAGTCCCTCTCTTATGTGGTTGGGTAGTACCACAGTTCAGAAGGAGATTTTAGAAAAACATGGCACTTCTTTGAGAAAAAAAGGGGAGTACAGTGGAGAGAGAGAGAGAGAGAGAGAGATCCATATTTGTTATCATTACAATCATACTACACTGTCCTCCTGATTCTTTTTGAGTGATTTTGTGTGTGATATTGCTCTGTCTTGCAAATGACAAATTGATTCATTTATTCCTTTCATCATACCCATTCGGTTTAATCTTCTTTCAATCTGTTTATGCATCTGTCTGCCCCTCTCATTCCCTACATTTCTTCCTCTCTGTCTTTTCACAATGTATATATCACACTGTTATCTTTTAGTTTTTTTCACTTACACTAATTTTTATGTAAAGTCCTCACTCCCAAGCATAATTTTTAATTGGTTTTTTTTTAATTGTATAAGTTGTATAAAATTTTAAATAAAACAGAAGGGGATCTTTTCCTTATATGTATTATTTGCCCCCATCTTATTTTACCGCTACTGATGTACATATGAGTATATCAGAGAGGATGAAGAAAATGGTTCAACAAATGTATTGGGAACTTTGAGAATGTTGGGCATATACTCCACACAATTCTATTAAATTTGGCATGCTTTATCCCTTCATAATGGTCCAATTTACATGCAGTTTTTGTCCCATTTGAATAAAAAATAAAAATGATACATATAAATGATATGCATGTATATTTTTCCGATGATAGATAATAGAGGATGGAACTCCCTTTTCCCAATTCCTGCTCCAGAATCAGGACTAGTCAGAATAGGCTACTCCATTGACAGAAGTAGGGTTGAACTACTTCTGGCACTAAAGATCCAGCCATGAAGCCGTTTGGGTGGGCTTTACAGAGCCTGAGCATGTATGATCTGAAGCAGAGAAAAGGCAAATAGGAAAAGTGTTAAGTAATACTTTCGTTCTATTTTCTTTTTCCAATCTTTATTATTAACCCCTGGAAAATAGTTAACTGCATGATTTTTGTTGCATGTGATGTTTAGTTAGGTTGGGCTCGGTGATCTGAGGGATCTCTCCTTTCCATAAATCATGACCAAGTTTGTAATTTCCCACCTTCTGCAAAATACCATGTGATGACATAACAGTAATCCACAAAGAAAAGATAAAAAGACAATTATGATGGCCAAGAAAGAAACTTTTTCCCTAAATGTATTGATTGATAATGAATATGCATGGCCCAGGGAGGAGACTTGCTAGCTCCACATTTTAATTAAGTATAAACAAATATATGCAAATGAGGGAAATTAGGGTAGGGTTGGTTTTAGAGTTTGGTGACTCTATCAACCTAAACAAATGTATTGAGAAAAACTGTTCCATACAAAAGCTTGTGCTGGTGATGCAATGGGAGTAGGAGACATTTTTACTCTGTCTGGGAGCCTGTGTTATTTGCTGATTGTGCTAAATGTGTATAGGAGTTTCTGCTATGTATGATACACTGTGAATTGCCTCATCTCATGACCTCAGCAAGTTGTAACATAGGTCATACTATCTTTCCAATTACAAACTCTTCCTCCTATTTTTCTCACTTACTCTTACCTTACTCTTGGAGAATCTTGCATTTTTTAAATAGATCTATGTTTCTTCTTCAGAGGATGGGATTCTGAATGTTCCACCCACACTCCTGTGGAAAACCAGAAAGGAGATTCTTTCTCAGTTTCACTGCAGAGTAGATGGCTAAAAGTGCTCTATACAGTTAGTTAGCCCTCTTTTCCTTAGGAAGGAAGGTCCCTATTGAGGACAGTGTTCAAAGGTTTTTTCCCCCTAGGAATCCTTTGTCACAAACAGAATATTAGCCATGATAACTAGGTTGATTTCAGGGAACAGCAATTTGAACTCTTTATTTGAACTGAGCATATATCTATTTTTCCCAGCCAACTGGAGCCAAAGATGAGAATTCAGGCTAGAGAATTTAATGTATTTATTACTGTTCACTGCTCCCTGATTTAGTATAGATTACATTGCTCTTGCAATTTTTCAGTACCAAGTTTTTCACTGTTTCTTTTGTCCCACAGATTGTAGGCTGAGAAGTTCACTTCCTTCCTTGCTAAACTGACATGCATTCTTTGTGCCACATGGACTCTGATATTGCAGACTGGCTTGCCATCATTCATCTGGAAAGCTATCAAGATACCTTCAAGCAACACGGATATGTCTTGGTGAGAGATGTGATCTCTCTCACTAAGGAAGACCTACAGAAGCTTGGCATCACTGCTACTGGCCACTCCAAAAGGATTCTGAATTTAGTACAACAAACTTGTCCTTTTGTGGAGAACAAAAGTGAGCATATGGCAGAAGATTCCCATTCTGGGCCAGGTGAATGTACATATTCTCTGGATAGACCTGTGATAAAGAATGAAGAAATCTTGGCAAAAACTATTTCTGACTCTGAGGCTGACCATGATTCAACCAGTCACCTACAACATTCACTTCTGAATGAAGAGTCTACTTACCCTGTAGCAAAGCCAGTACCGAAACCCAGAACTGTATTCCCACATGATCACAGGGCAGCCAAACTACAGCCAATCTCATTGTCAATATTGCTACCTGTTCATAAACCCACTTTTTGTTCTGAAAAACCTCAAGGAGCATGTAATATTCAAGAGGGATTTTACCAAGAAAAATGTACCACAAATGCTCAGAAGCTTGAGATAACTTCAAAAGACCAAGTCCCTACTCTAGCTTCTCAGAGTAGGCCAATAGAGAATAAATCTGAAACTGTTATTCAGCCCTTTCTTCACATGAATGAAATGAGTAGTGAAAGCAAGAGTTTGTCTAAAACGTCCTTTCCTCCTACCCCCAAATGTTCCAGCTGTAAGAGCCAGTCTATGGATACCAATCCAACCCCATCCATTTCAACTGCTAAGAAAATAAAGGCAGAAACTGTGTTAATCCCTTCTGTCCTCATCCAGTCAGCCTCCTCAGAGGATAAGAAAGAGATGGTATCTGATGTTACTTTGCCCTTGCCAGCTAAAAGAGTAGAAATGAAGGAGAGCTTTAGAAGTGTAACTAGCACAAAGCATTCTGAAATAGTCCTGCAAAATGGAAATTTTAACATGGAGAAGGCTGGGTAAGTATACATGCTCTTCCTAGCAGTATAGTTTACTCCTTTCAAAAAGTCAGTTAGAAAGGCCTCATCTAGAGTAGGAAGATTATGGAAGACTGTGTGTGTGTGTGTGTACACACACATATATATATGGACACATGCATATACACACCAACTACTACTAGTAATAATAAAGGAAGTGGGTACTCTGGCTATCGAAATTTGAGGTAGTTTTTCTACTTTTGCATTCTACTTTCTTTGGATTATTGATTGGATCCCTGTTCAACCTTGAAGACAACTGGGCTTCAGAATTTCATAGGTTTAGGACAGAGATGCATAATCTAATTCCTCAAAGCCTTCAGAGCTCCCCCAATAGTTACTGCCAAATTTTTATTGTGACAGAAGGGAAAAATACATTGGAAATAATCCAATTAATTTGATTCAAATAATATTAATTACATTTACACTGAATCAAATACATTCTTTATTCTGATACCATTTACTATTTTATCCTAATTTCTTTTTTAATGTGTCTTCTTTCCTATATTCCATATAAATGCCAAATGCATCCTTTAATCTTAAAAAATGTTTTGTTTCTCTGGCCAAGGGCTTAAAAGGCTGGTCAGCAGCAAAGGCTTTTTCATATTTTGAGAATAAGAGCTTCCACAGCTAATAAGCAACAATCTGGAACTGTAACACCTAGCATACATGGAATGTTGGCTTCATTTAGGCTTATGGTTAGGCAGTATGATAACATGGAACCTCAGTTAGTTTGCATCCTAACTATAGAGGTGGCTGATATTTTGCATAAGGATTTATACCAGGAGAATTGTAGGGATCAGTATTAGATGGCTATATTATGAATGATGTCTTAGGGCTCATTCTCACATTCCCCAAACTGCATCTTGAAAGATGGCTTGCTGAACGTGAGGACACATCCTCATGTTGCTGCCTTTGTCTGAGGTTGCTTAATTTTGTATTTAGCCAATATGGTGATAGTGTTTTACATCTCCTGATAAAAATCTTGCTGCATGCCCAAATTCTTTGGTGATTATGCAGTCATGGGCTAAGATCTGCTAGAAACTATTGGCCACTTCTGGCTGCAGCATACAACTCCATTCCAGTTGCTGGCCACTGCCTTCTGTGGCCATTTTGTTTTGTGCTGCTCCTAGACTAACATGACACCTAGCTTCCTCAGGCAGCTGTTTACATAGTACCTGGCCAGTGCTTTCCAAAGTGCAAGCCTGGTTTTATGCAGGCTTCTTATTAACACTTATTCACTGCTCTAGTGAAACAGCATAGACCTTTTTCAAAGCATGTGTTCAGTGGTCCTGTGAGAGAATACTAGATCTCTCTTTTAAAAAAAAACAACTATAAATTAGCTTTCCAGACATTGATCTCACTGGGAAAGAAAGCATGATTCTGTTGCTAATCATGATTATGTACTTGCCATTGCTATCCAGCTGTTTTTTTATATCTTTGGTGGTGGGGATGTTCCTTCTCTGCCATCATTTTGCTTATTCAGTTCCCTCTCCAATGCCTTCTCCCATATGACTCACCATTCCAATGAAGCAGCAGCAGCGGAATTGCTAAAAAAATAACATCAAGTTCACTCCATTGCTTCAGCTGCATGCTCTTGACCTTAATAGCAGCTTTTGAAAAAGGGTACCTGGGTCATGGAGTGAAGTGGAAGAGAATTCAGGTGGCCCTCTCCCTGTGTTGTCTCTTGTTTCATCCTGTGCCTATCCACCATATCACCAACCTATCAGCTTGGTTTTGTTTTAGGACAACTGTCTACTGCTCTCCTGGAATAATGCTAGATATGTGTTCAGAACCAGCCCAAGTAAAAACCCACTACCATGGAGTACCTCTGTGCCAATAGCATATCCTTGGACAACTTGAAAGCTGGCATAGGACATTTGTTTTGCTTTCAGTATGATGGAGAAATGGTCAACACAGCTATAATAGCTTCTATTGAAAGAAGAGTCCCTGATCTCTGATTCTCAGGTTTCCATTATCAATCGCACCACAATGTTAAGGAGAGTAATTGCTGATTGTTTTTCCCACCCAGCAGGTAGCAGTAGGAATGCTGGTGGGAGGAGAAACAAAAGCATCAGTCACTGACCTTATCTTGTCTCACATTAAAACTGTAAGTATAGTATCACTTGTTACTGAATCAGAATGGATTACCTATTGGCACAGAGTAAATTATGTAAGGATTTTTTGTGCTGCCTCAGACTGGAGGACAGTGTGTTAAAGCAGCTGTCTGGATAAGCCCATAGTGTGGTGCCTGGATTTAAATTTAGGATTTAAAATTTAGTTCATGCTGCAGGAAGCCAGAAAGCCTGAGCTAGCTAAGACTGCTTTTCAGAAATATGGTTCTTCTATGAATATATCTCCAATAGTAGAAAACAGGATGACTATAAATCTAAAATAAAATCTTCTCTCCCTTTTCATAGTTCTCTTGGACAGTTCAGCTTGGTTACACAACATTCACCTGAAGGACTTAGTAGCAATTCAAGTGAGTGAAGCCTGTGGTTCTCTTGGATGCTGATGGGAAGGGGCAGGATGAGGTAGATTTTTCACCTAAGATTGTAAACTCTAGTGCCCTGCTTCTTGTTTTTCCTTAGCTGATATAACACAAAAGTAGCTAAAGGCATGGGATCAGATAGAAAAGGGTGGCTTGTAATTCTTCTAAAACTAGAAGCAACTGGGTGAAGAAACCCTGTTGTAGATATTCCTCCGTACCCCTTATGGACTCAGTAAAACAGAGGTAGCTTGGAACTTGAATAATGCCAACAACTATGCTCCCATAACAAAACATTACAGAAGCATAGAGGTTATATCAAGTCCAACCCACTGCTCAGTGCAGGTATGCAGATGAAAGTACCCCTAAGAGAGAATTACAGTACCTAGCCTCTGCTTGAACATACAGGTAGTCCTCAGGTATGACAGCAGTTGGGACTGGAATTGTCGCTAAGCAACATGGTTGTAAAGTGCAATGGGATGTGATCACATTGCTTAGTGACGGCAATTCTAGTAGTCATGGTTGCCGTCGATAAGCAAATATAGTGCAGGTCATTAAGTGAAGAACTCACATGACCATGACTTCCGAGTTCCTGCTGGCTTCCTCATTGACTTTGTGGGAAACCGGCAGGGAACTTTGGAAGTCGCAATCACGTGACCACAGCTCACTGCAACAACATAATCGCGAGCCAGGTGCCAAGTGCCCAAATCATGATCACATGACTGCAGGAACATTGAGATGGCTGGAACTCCAAGAACCCATCATAAGTCCCATTGTTCAGCGCCATCACAAGTTTGAACAATCACTGAATGAGTGATCATAACCCAAGGACCACCTGTATAGAGCAAAGAGGAGTCCACCACTTCTTTGATTAATTGGTTACACTATTTTACTATTAGGATTTTTTTTTCTAAAATTCAGTTGTAATCTGCCTTCCTATAACTTCAATCCATTATTTCATATCATCAAATGGATTGAGGACAGGTCTTGATCTCTGTGATTCTGTATTCTGCTATCATAGCAGTGCTATCAGAGCTAAGCATTTCCAATTCCTTCGCTCTCTCTTATATGACTTACTTACAAATACCTGGTCATTTTCATTGCTGTCCTCTGAACTTAAAGTGCGGTGCCCAGAACTGAACATGGTGCTTTAGGTGGGGTCTGCCTCTGACTAAACTTAAATATTTCCTTTAATATCAAGATTCTAGCATTATATGATCTCTTGCCTCAATGTTTTTGCAGTTTCCCCTTCTTCAGGTAGCTGTTGGTTGATGTTAAGTTTGGGAGAGGTGGTCCTCCATCCTTTGAAAGAGAAAGTTGTCAACACATAAAATAGGAACTTCCTGGAAGTTTGTCTTTCAGTTTGTCTTTCAACAAATATCAGAGTAATTAAAGGCTCTTATCACTACTATTAATGCCTCTTTGAAAGATCAGCCATTTATTTTTGGAAAGCGTCATCTACATCTTTTCCTTGGTTAAGCAGGCAGCAGCAGACACCCAATATTACTTTTATTTGTTCCACTACTTATTTTAACCCACATGCTCTCTACAGTATTTCCAAGTTCAGTTCACCTGGATTTCTGAGCAGGAGCAGATACTGTTAACATGCAGTTCAACTCCTCTTCTGTCAGGCTTCCCTTGGTCATACTAAACTAGAAGCCTTGCAAACAGTGATTCAAGGACACTGTTCTTTTAATAAGTAGACTTACTGCAAGAACTAGGGATGACATTAAAAAAGAAATCTGGCAAGTTCCAAGTGTAAAATGCAAGCTCTTTTTGTAGCATAAGCAAGGTTCAATTTTTGCACTTTTCTCACATGTTCATACAGTTCAGTGGACTGGGAGCCTCATGCCTTTAGGTAGGAGGAACAGTAGCTACCTGTGCCTTGCTTTAGTACGGCTCAATCTGATCTCAGCTGTTTGCCTCTGTCCCTGACCTATCTAGTCCCTGTATCTTCACTTTCTATTGTTTCTGTTCTTTTTAAATAAAGTATATCCTTTGTTTGCTATATTTCGGTTATGGGAGTCATCTATGTCTTCATCATACGTATTAAATCATGTTTATCTTTCTGACTTCAGAGACTTCAAGCTCCTCTAGTGTATTTCTCTAATCTGAGTGTTAGTATATAGAAAATGAAGGCCATTAATTTTAGAGCCAATGTTCTTCCTGAATTTTCATTGAGTGGTTCAGTAGGTCCCATTGTTCTGCTGTTCAAGCTTGCCATTCTTTGGCTGAACACATTTTACCAGAGTGGGCAAATGATAAAACCTGCATCATGACATTATGTTACAAAACCTGCAACATTATGTACTTGCCTCAGATATTATGATGCAAGGACATAAGGATGGGATTTGCATCATGACCCCACTGTGTGCATGCTAGCATTTTGATGTAATCTGCAGATGCTTTTGTTGGGAGGTGTAGTCTGTCTCATGTCATCATCCAGAGTACTCAGACCATGGTCCCAGAAACCAAATCGTTCCCATCAATATAATTTGCTAAGTTCTTTTTTCCCCTTCCCCCTCCTCAGAGAATTTCATGAGCAAATAATATAATATATAGGGCATCCATCATCAGTTCTCAAAATGTCTAATTTATTTTTCATGGGGAAAAAAAGAGCTCTTATTGGAACAGCAGCACTAGAAATTTTTCTAATTGCTAAAACAAAACTTCCCTCCTTCCTGTGTGCCTATAGCAATCCATTTCACAAAGTTCTCTCTGCTAAGAAGAGGTCCGTAAGAGACAGACACATAAGATTTTTCTTTCTGTTTTCCATTTTTGTTCTGCCTAAATCAGACTCAGAAGAACTTCACTGAAGTCTCTTTTCTTTACCTTTTTATTTTTGAAGTCATTATCGCTTTTCCAACTTTGTTTACCCTCAGATGCTGTTGATGAGTTCATCAGCCCCTACTGTGAGAGTATGTTTGGACTTTGCTGGTCCACTCGGGGTCAGGTGAGGATATCTTGGGCTCTTTTTTCTAATTGTGTTCTTCCCCTCCAGACAGTTGCCTATCCCAGCACTGGCCGGTTGGAGGATGGAATGGGAGGAGGGAGCAGCGAGAGGAGCAGATGTCTAACTATGTATAAACTGATGAGATTGGGATAGACTATGAGTGCCAGATAGAAGGGTGGAATGTAATGGATAGCTCAAAGAAAATGTCAACTGAGCTTTCTAAAGCAATAAAGAAAATTTAATACTGGGAATTATTAGGAGAAGAAACAGTAAGGATCACCATGCTCCCAAAGAAATCTATATTGTTAGATACAAATAATAGGGAACGGCCATGCTTTCAGGCCCAAGTTTTTTTTTTTAATTTCTTAGATGGAAATATAAAGCTGATTTAGATCCCAGTAAGAAAGTTCCATTGGCATCAATTTATGCACAAAGAAAAAGTCATAGAATTGAGCAATTGGCCAAGAAAATTGCTGTGTCTGCTGAACTGTTCTTTAATATTCTTCTAGGATTCAGCAACTTCTGAATGTCAAGACTATGAAGATGTACGAAAATGTATAACAAACCAGAGGAAGGACCCCATGTAAGTGTTCTGTCTTCTTTTCTGCCTATGCATATTATGCACGATTCCTTCTCTTTAAATATGCAGTGTTAATAAGCAATTCAATTGTTTAATATGCAGTGTAGTTTCATGGAGCATCCAGATATCATGATCCTTCTTTAGCCCATATTTTATCCATTTGTTCTTTAAACTTAGGAAGAAAGAGCCAAATCAGAAGAGCAATTCTCAGGAACTAAGGAAGCACACAGATTTTAGAGACACTTTGTCCATATAAAGCTTTTCATTTACTAATTTCAGTGCAGTATGAATGTTTATCCTTCAGCTATAATTGTCAATATATGGGAAGCAGCCATTCACTAAGGGGTTATTATACTTCTCATGGTTCTTTTCTCATATTCTGTTTCTGTTGCCTCTCTAAGCAGTATCTTAAGAGTTAAGAATTACCTCTTTTGCTGGGAGTGCTTTTACTGTCCAAAGAGATTAGCTGGCCCCAAGTTACAATAGGAGAGAGATTCATGCTTCTACCACTTTCTGATTCATTAAGCAAATCTGACACCCATTCTTTCAGTGACAGAAATTCCAGGGGAGAAGATAAGAGTCCATCTTCTAAGAGGGAAGCTGATATCATCAGCTGCATTGCTCAGAAGGAGGCTGAGGGCTACTCTACAGTGGAAGCTTCACCAGTCAAGCACTCCCCATTCAGGCTCTCTGGCCCCATCTATCCTGGTGAAAATTTAGATGACTTGACTATCTCTCCCTATGCCAGCTATACCTCTTTGTCAGAGCAGCCTCTCTCTGTGCTCAATGGCTGGCTGGACAAGCTCTCTCCACAGGGGTAAGTGACTGGCTGAAGGGACCCTGTATTTTGTTTCTTCCCCTACCTTTTCTTTATTTTCTGTTAGCCTCACCTAAACATGCTTCTTCATAGGAAAATTGGCCATTGCTACATATATATTATACATCATACTATAAAGTTTATAATTCTGACCTAAGACTGTAATAAAGATGTTGTTATTGTAAGGTTTATTTCAAAAAGACACATACAGAGATATCCATAATATTCCTTTTAACAAACTATTACATTTGTGTATGGTTAAACAAATAAATAAATACTCTACTTGTAGGGCTGACCTTCTTCACTTAAACTTTAAAAGCAGATACAACTGTGCTCCCCAGCAGTCCTTTAATAAACACTGTCATGTCCCTGGTGAACAGTTCTGGATTCAAGGAGCTCTCCTTTCATTCTCAATAGGAATTATGTCTTCCAACGACGTTTCGTCAGATTTGATGGGAAAAACCTCATGTATTTTAACAACGAGAAGGTGGGAACAGTATAACAGAAATTAATGTTAAGCAACTATATGTGTTAGAGCTTAGAAAGGGAGTGGGTGAAAAAAAATGGGAGGTTCTGGTTAATTGAAAAAAGAAGGTTGAGCCTAACCTAGGTAGACTAGAGAAATAGTACAGTACTGGAAAGATGATCTAAGATCAAGATTGTCAATTACAATTCTGCTATTTTCTTTTACGTATTTTTTCTTAAAATGTTCAATAAAAATATATTTTGAAAAATAAATTGGATTAACTTTCAGTAGGAAGAAAGTTCTAGAGGAAAAATGTCAGAGTAGAACTCACTAACTGCCTGGGCTGTTGTAGGAACCGTATCCCAAAGGCTTGATTCCTCTCTGTATTATTGGCATGGTACGCTCCACCAAGGACAGCAAATTCCAAGTCATCACTAAACACAGGATTTTTGTCTTCCGAGCTGAAAGTGAAGGTAAGAAATCCCAACCTGATCCCATCGTGCCTTTCTTCTCTTCTTGCTGCTTCCACTTCTCCACCTTCAGTGGCCCATTATTCTAAGCCTTTTACAGGCAGCATTTTTCTGTTTCTCACTGCTCACTTTTATTCTGCTGTTCTTCATTTGGGCATGAGAAAATGTAGGAAGAGCTAACTTTTCCTGGAGGTTTGCATAGATCCTATCAGAAATCACTCTGATAAATATTTGTAATCTTATCTTTTGCTAATATTTCTGTAGCCCAGCGGAATGAATGGTGCAGCACTCTGCAGCAGAAAGTCACTGACAAGCAGATCCTTTGCCCCACCAGCAACAGCAGCACTCATTTCCAGAAGCGTGGCTATTTAGAACTCAAAGGCTACAAATCCAAACTGTTTGTAATTCTTACCCTGGGTGAGATGTGGCTGTACAAAAGCGAGCAAGTAAGTGTCTAAGCCTTTCAGCATTAGGAAGCTAACTAAAGATGTTTTTTATGTCTTCTTCAAAAACATACTTCATACGCTGTAGTTTGTTTTCCCTACTTTAACAGATGAATGTCTCTTTAAGTGGCTCCAAGTGATAATGTCAGACTAGGACAAAAGCAGTCTCTGAACAGTTGAAGCTGTTGGCAGTAAAAGTTACTGGATCACAGCCAGCAGCATCAATATTTCTTCTATTGTTATTTTCCTTTGTAAGAAAAAAAGGGCAAGAGTATTTTTTCTAATTAATCTTGTCAGTTTCAGATAGCATTCTTCTGACTATACATACAAAGTGGTTCCTATTCAAATTTCATCCACAGTTCTTTAAAATGGGCATTGCTATCTGCCTGATTGAGATGCACAGCTCCACTATCCGAGAAGCTAAAGGCCGTAATTTTGAACTCATCACCCCATGCAAGATCTTCAGGTAACACAAACTGGGACTACAAGGTAGAACATCCAACTGCTGTAGTGTTGCATGCTGAGCCAGCCTATCATCGAGGGTCTGCATGACTGGGTGCTACTGAAACCCTCCACCTACCCAAGAATCTGACTTAGGGTCCCATTTTTTAGATTGCCTGGCAACAGCAGAATTTTAAAAAACCCCACAATGAAAGGCCTGTCTTCTCCAGGCATTACTCCCATTAAACAATGGACTATTATTCCCAGAGTTCTCACATCACAGGAGCAACAGCACACTGATTTTTGTGCTTGTTTGAGTGCCTTTGGAGGAACAAGAGAGTTCTGCTGTGATTAGGCACTTCTCCAATAAAAAAAAGTGAGATACCTCTAGAATGCAGAGATTCTGATCCATATGCCTATCTCAGTGAGAAATGGAATATTGTTCCAGAGACCACTATGTCATTTCAGTGGCCAGCAAGGAAGCTCTTTGGAGATGCTTGAAAGAAATAGATCAGCAATTTTCTTATCCTCCTCTGTGAGCGCTCCTGTTAAGTTTCCTGCCACCTGCCAATGTTGCTCAAATGATGTCAGATTCATGCAGACAGCTACATGTTCTGTGCAACTGCACACAGGAGGAAAGTCTTCATGTATAGTCATACATGTATTGGTTTCCATATTTTATTCCTGCAGAAGCATATGATTAGACATGTCTGACATCATTTAAGTGACATCAGCAGGAGAGTTGAATACTCCATGCCTGAAGTGGGTTTTATTTTCTCCTGACCAGGGGAATTAATGCACACTGTAGAAACTCTTCAGCTTGGTTGGAATGCCAGAGCATTTTAGATATTTAGCACGTGAATATAAATACATATGTTAGTCAGTTGTCTTCAGTTTTTGTATACTAACAGATAATCTGTCAAAGTATTACACCCCCAACATCAACTCTGGAATGTTTTGGGGGTAGATGCTGCAAGCAGAGTATTTATTACAGCCTTGCTTTTTGATTAGGCCTTACATCATTTGATGCGTGTTCCCTTAGTTTTGGAGCTGAGTCTGAACGAGAGAAGCAGGAATGGATGGAAGCTCTTCAGAACTCTATTGCTGAGACTTGGTATGATTATGAGGTGGCTGAGAAGATCTGGTCTAACAAAGCTAACAGATTCTGTGCTGACTGCCATGCACTGAGCCCTGACTGGGCTTCCATCAACTTGTGTGTGGTGATCTGCAAACAGTGTGCAGGCAAGTACATCTGTATGTATATGTGCATTTGTATATCTGACATTAAATCCATATATAGGCCTAAATCATGGCAGTTTTAGTGGCAAAGCAACAATACTTCTCTGCACTTATTGCATCTGCAGGCTTTAACAGAACATTTATGATAAGCAGTTGCTACTTTGAAGGAGAAATACTAATCTTTCCTCCAAAATCCAAATTTTTTATTTTGGATTTGAAAATTATACTCCAAAAGTCCCACCTTAGGCATGAAAGCCAGCTGGGTGACTTTGGGCCAGTTACTCTCAGCCCAGCTCACCTCACAGGGTTGTTGTTGTGAGGAAAATAGGAGGAGGGAGGAGTATTAGGTATGTTTGTCACCTTGAATTATTTATAAAAATAATAAAGGCAGGGTAAAAAAAATCTAAAAAATGCTGCAATGCCAATTTAAAATTAAATAATGTCCATATCAGTGGAAGTTGTGCATTTAAGGACAATTGCAGTATGATGGGATATTTTTGAAGGGAGTCTACCCCTTGTAGTTTTTCTTATCTCTCCCCCCACCCCATGTTTTTATCAGCATACATTGATTTGAATTAAACTTTAATTGCTGTGTTTGAGTGCATGTGTATATAGGGGGAGGATTAATTTTGGATTATAGGTGCATTTGTATGTGACTAAGAAATTTTTTTTTTTAAACTAAAGTGTATGGGAATGATTCCAAACACAATCCTTATTGTTCTTATTTATGGCATGTGTTCAATGCCTGAGCAAAATCTGATCTAAATCTGGGATACCATTGTGGCACCCAAGGCCCCAAGGTACATGCAGAAACCTTTGTTGGTGCCTTCTTGGTTCCCTCTGCCCCTTTCTTTTTTAATTCAGAGGAAATGAGAAGCTTGTACTCTGCAAAGAAAACAACCAGTTGCCAACATTACATTTGTTCTCCTCAAGAATGCCTACATACCCAGTAGAAATGGTAGGTGCTGCAGCCCAGTGTTCAGAAAAAAGGACAAACATTGGAATAGATAAAATGTAGTGTCCTGAGAAGGAAAGCAAGGAGAGGAAAGGAGACTTCTCCCATTCTTTTAAAGTCTTCACTACTGTGGCACTCATGTCTGCCCAGAATGTGACTGACATTAGAGAAGCCCATCAACAAAAATGATGTCCCCATCTAACAAGAAGGGTTGTGTATAGTTCTAGTGGAAGGAGCATTTATATGAGTCCTGAGATATGGGCTACTTTGGTCTGAATATGAGGTCAAGCTCCTGTGAAACCTGTAGTTAGATTGCATGCATGCCCTTTGGAATGTTACGTGTTCTTTACCATATCTACAGGTTTGCATCGGAGCCTGGGTTCTAGCATTTCTAAGGTGCAGAGTCTGAAGCTGGACACAAGTATTTGGAGCAATGAGATGGTCCAGGTATGAAGTCTTCTCCAAAGTTCTAGCATTGGGGAGTGGTAGGACCAATCTGAAATTGTAGAATTGCACAGTCGTGGATAAGTGGGATTGAAAAGGCATACACTGGGATTATCTAGGTTGAGATATACTTCTTCAGTATCCCTGGGGATAGAGCGCTTTTGTTCATTCAGTGTCACAATCCTCCAGTGTAATTCCATTGCTCTCTCCTGAAGCTGTTCATCATGCTAGGGAATAAACAAGCAAACAAATTTTGGGCTGCACACCTCCCAGCTTCTCAAGCCTTGTACCCTGATGCTAGCATTGAGCAGAGACGAGATTTCATCATCTACAAGTACCGTTATGGACGCTTCCGCATGCTACACCCTCAATATAACAGTCAAGAAAGCATTTTGCAGGTATGTTTTTATGCACGGAAAAATCTGTCCTCAATATCTGATGGAATTACTAATTAGCTAGATTCCAACATACAAATTCCAGTTCAGTGTCCCACATTAATTGGAGGAAATCTGTGCCAACATTACCTGAAAAGACACATGGTATATTTTTCTTACAGTTTTGATTTGCAGTGCCTGATACTCTTTTAGGAAGTTGATTATCTTGAGTAATTTGATGTTTTTTCTTTTCATAGGCTCTATGTGCAGCTGTGTCTGGGCCAGGATTGCTTAAAAAAATGGTGCATTTTTTTGCAAGCACCATGGCAGCTGAAGTGGGAGGTAGCTGTGTTACTTTGGAAGCTAAGCCCTGGCCCAGCAGTGGCCATAGTCAACATCCAGGTAACTGTACCTTACTGTATACTGTATGTAGAAAACAGGGTAGAAGTTATTTCATTGGGCATACTCATTTAATTAAACCCTGTTTTTTTCCTCACCTACTGCTATGCATTATGTTCTTTTTTAAAAATAATTTTTATTAAAAGAAGATTTTACAAAGATTTAAAAAACTAAAGAAACATAGAAGAAGAAAAAGTTTATAAAAGGGTAAAAGAAAAAGCGAATAACAAAAAAGCAAGAAAAAGAAAGATACCTAAAGAAGCAACTTCCGATCTTCTTTGCAGCAATTACATAGTAATTACCATTTCCACCCTCCCATATTGCATATCATGGTTCCCTTCTTCCCATAAACAAACCTTTTTAATCAATAAATCCCAAAACCAGCAGTTTATTTTTATCCATTTTCAGCAGAAAGTCTATAAAGGGTTTCCAGTCTTTTTTAAAAGTAATTGCAATTCCCTCCTTGATCAAACAAGTCTATGTGTATTATCTTCTTGACATCAGCCAGGCTTAGCAATAAATTCTTTAAATGCCATATAAGCATGTATGTCTGTGGTTGAAATTTATTCACTATCTCCCACCAAACTTATATTTTCTGTCCTACTATGAAAAATTATCTCTTGGAAACATAAAACAAAGCTTAAAAGTCTGTTGGCTTTGAACAAAGACAATTTATTTTTAAATCATCTGTCTGTCTGTCTGTCTGTCTGTCTGTGTATCTAGAAGGGATCTACAATGAAATCACACAACCAGTTGTCCATTGTGGTTACTTATACAAAGCCCCATCCACAGCCAAAGTGATTAAGAGAAGCAGAGATGGTAAGTCCAAGTATTGTGGGATCCATAACTGATGGATAATGGAACAATGGCTTTGGCTAACAGTCTCTCTTGTGTAGAGTTTCGGAGGATCTGGTGCTCACTGGAAAAGTTTTTCCTCTTCTATGAAACTGAAAGGAGTACTGAGCCAACAGGGAAGATTGAAGTGGCAGATGTGATTTCATTGGCAGTGAACAGAACAGACATGTTGGCTACTCCTGGCTCTACAGACAGGTTTGTGGAAATTCGATATATTCAGTTTTTCTCCTCCTTACCCCTGCTGAACTAAGGTTATGTTTGTATGCCTCATGATGATACCAAACAATGAGGCAACACTGGATTCATCTCTGTCAAAAAGAGCAGATCGTTTGGTGGAAGGTTAAGGATCTATTTGGGGATTCATCGGAACCATTTGTCTGTCCCCTTCATCACTCCTCAGTATTACCAGTTATCTGTATTACCATTTGTACAAGATCTGTAGCATGTTGCTGCCATTTGCAACACCCTGCACTGAGTTAAAGTCAGTTATTGCCATGGTTTTAGTCTGCAACCATGCCAACTCCAGGGCTTGCAGGAACATCTCTACCCTCTTTGTCTTCCAAGCTGTTTGCATATTTTGGGTAAGTTCCTTCTCTTTTTCAGTTCTCTGTTTCTCCAAGATAACCTTTGGACTCCACAATGTTCTATTGTAATCCATTCTCCAATCCTAGACAGATTTTAAGGACAAGTGAGCCAATCCAGATTTTGGAACTAACCAGAGGGAAGAAGCCAGGACCTGCAATAAGAAGTATAACACAAGGCTGAAAGGGCTTGATCTCTTTTTGGTATTAATAACTTTTATATTGCTACTTCTCTGGCTTTGGCATCTTTCATCAGTCACCTTCAAGGAATGTAACATTGTAACAAAGGCAAGATAAAATTTTGCTGCTATCATATCTCCCTCAGTCATTTTATCTATAGGCTAAACATTCCCAGATCCTTTAATTATTCCTAATAAGTAGTGAAGCTTGCCAATTACTTCTTTATCTAGGTTGTCTTAAAGGGATTTGTAATGAACAGGGAGGCCAGACCCACAGGGAAAAAAGATAACTTTAGCCAAAAGATTATAACTAAGTTTTAGCCTCTAAGGAGAGTCCCCCATTGTGGGGAGATGGGCGGGGACAAAATAAATAAATAAACCCATTTCTAGACAAAGTACAGCATTTTAATGCATCTTGTGACTACAAGAAGAGCTCTAAGGAGCTTAAACTGAATAGCTTTAAGGATGTAAGTTTTCTAAAATGCAAACTTGGACATCATGAAGCAACTGGGAGATCATGGCTACAAAGACCTTACAAGCTGCAGGGGTAAAATGAGCTCTTTTCAAGTGGAAAAAGCTCAGGATAGCTGAGGGGCTATGCTTATTATCTCCAGGATAATGACCAGCTCATTAAGGTATTTATAAGTGTGTAACTGCTCAATACCATTTCCACTGATTTTCCAGTTATGAATTTTATGATAGTTTCATTGGAAAAGCTAGGATTTTTGTTTTCTACTTGTTTATTACTAGTTTTTTCTTAATCAAAAAGAGACCAGACCTTCCTATCCTTTTCATTCCTAGCTGGCAGACAAACAGGACCATGATGTTATTTGAGTATAGAAGAACTGGAACCACTCAACCTGCTAATAGTGGGGAGTGATCAGTGGGGACAGAAGGGGCCTGGATTATTGCTTTGATGTACAAGTTAAATAGAAGAGGGTCAAGAATACACCCCTGCCTCAGGGGGGAACTGAATGAGTAGAAGCAGCCTTCTATCAATAGATTCACATAGCCTCTCCCTTGGAAATAAGTAAAAAACTTTCTTTTTTTAGATTTAAATCTAAATCTATATATAAATTATAGATTTAAAATTGACAGAGGCTGCAAAAAGGGAATATTTGGGTAAAGAAGAATATTCCTCTGTTAAATGGTGACAAACCAAATAATGCTCAAGAGTTGATCAGTCTCCTCTAAAACCTGCCTGCTCTTCAGTGAGGATGGTTTCACTTTCAGCCCAGTAGCTTTAAGCTAGGGCTTCATTTCCCTTTTGAGAGTAGATAGTTATAAAATAGGAATTTAAAACATTTTGCCTTTTCAGCCATTATTGCTTCATCACTTTCTCCTTGCAGTGGCCTATACTCTCTTTGTTTTTGTTTTCTTTTATTTCATTTTTGGTGTTTCTAGTATCTCTTGCAAGCCTCACTTCATTCAGAGCTTTAATTTTCCTGATGCAATTCCTATGGTTTCTGGAGATTAACTTGTATTCTTCTTTGATTATATTCCCCCTCCTTCTATTTCTAGTCTAGTATGCAGGTCTGACTCTTCTGAATTGCTCTTTCTTTGGATATCACAAATTAAATAACATGATCAGTATTCTCCCAAGGTGCATGTCATCTTCCCTTCTTGAACCACTGCCTCTTTGTTGGTGAGGATTAGGTCCAGATACCAGACACCTTGTTCTTTCTTCCACCTTCTGATAAATGAATTACCAGCAAGAAAAGAAAAGCAATTATTGCATCTCTGATTCTTGGCAGGGTGAGATTCCCAGTAGTTATCAGGATAATTGAAATCCCCCTTTAGTGCAAGATTTATCTTAAGACTCTTTGAAAGACTTGCCATCTGATGCAGAAAGCCCTCACTTCTGTCTTCTGTTTGGCCAGGTGGTCTGTAATAAACCCTGACAATAATATCACTTTTGTTTCTTATTTTATTCTCCCCCAAATACTTTCAACAGGATTTCCATGCTCTGATTCTTGAATTGTACAAGATGGACACCTGCCTGGGATGTGTGTTTCCCTGTAGCTCCCTGGCAACTGAGAACATGGACACATGTTTTGTTATACTGCAAATTTTATAGGGACTTTCATGCCACCCTAATCTCTCCTCTCCTAAGATCTACCAGGTAGAGAAAATGAGGAGTACATGTCACTTCTTTTGTCAGACCTCTGGACCAATATTACCCATTCAGTAGACAATTCTATTCAGTAGCTATGAAAATCCACTCTCAGCTGATACCTGGTATGCTAATTGCTCACCAAGTCTGTAACATCTTCTAGACTTCAGTTGTCCTGTTTTTATTTCCAAATGATCCCCATTCCCCGAAAACCTTTTATATCTTGAAACAAAGATACCAGATTCTCCTGAGAAGGAAGAAAAGTTAAATATTTTGTTGTATAGTGTATGCTGGTCTATGACCGAAATAAAATTGATTATATTATATTTGTTGTATGGTGCATAGTGCTGTGCCTATAATCCAATTGGAAGCACTCCTATCTAATTCTGAAATTCCTGCTCTGTGTCCTCTGCTCTATTGCTAATGCACTTCTTGAATGCACCTCTGTCAAGTCCCACTTATGTCTCTGCAGGTTGAAGTACTGACTTAAACAGATCTTGGTGGTGAATCTTTAGCCCAGTTACTACTGACAGTTAAACACCATCTCCCTGGAAGAAACAAATACAGTCAACTTCGTTTACCTCAGCCTCCAGTTTGTATCTATGCTAGGCATCAATAAAGCTTGGAGAGTTCAAGCAGAGAATTTTTTACCTTGATATGCAAAGAGACAGAACTAATATCTCACATCTCCACTACAATGAATTCTCACAACCTCCCTTTACCATCCCTATATATTTTTATTAACCACTTGTCCCATTGTATAGGAGAGTTTTCATACTTGCACACTTGGATGCTCTTCCAACAGTGAAAATGTCATGAAGACTTAATGACATTCCTTATCAGTTCCTTATGTATCTGTTCAGATTCCAGAGTCGAGACAGTAACTCACATACAGTACTTCTGAAATGCCCTATTTACCATCCTTGGTGGGTAGGGCTAATCTCTCCTCCTATCAGAACTACCCAGATCAATCTCACACAGCAATTGTGTGCTACCTTCTAAATCAGCAGGACCATGAAGTTTCCAGAATATGGGCGAATTTTGTGCTATTGCAATGAAAGAAGTTACTGGACCTGACTGTATGCTAGATATGTTTAGTCTTAAGTATGAATACCTTTATTCTTATTCTCATCTCAACCTTCTGTTTTGTTTTTGATCTACAACTGTATGTTTTAATAAATTATATTAAATTAAATTGGTTATATGTCTAAACTTCTTTCCAATGGACATAAGACATTTTATTTTATTTTCTTGTACGACTATTAACATTTTGATTTTAGACATCAGCTAGATTACAAATTGTAGATAGCTCATTCAGTCCTCACATCCTCTAGTTTGATATTATGTTGCATATTTTATTGGTTGTGGTGTTTATGTAGTGTCTTTGTATTTCTGTTGTCACACTGACTGGTCATTGATGGCAATAGATTATAATATATAAAATAAATTTCAAAATTAAGATTAAAAGATTAATTTCCCCATTATGCAATGGTTTCTTGTCTTATTTTTTAATGTCTTAGTAGATAAATTACTGAACATCTATTCTCAGTGATATTTTTGTTTGCTACAAACAGGTTCTGCTTCATGCTAGAACTGTATCTGAGCAATGAACGAATACAGCAGTTGGTGGCTGATGATTCCAGTAGTCTACAGTCCTGGGCCAATGCTGTTGGCAAGGTAATGGGGAGAAATAATGTTCACTAGAAATTCAGAGGCGAGGGGGCACCTCCTCTTCTAGCATAACATATCATGTATCAGTGCACTATAAACTCAACAGTCAATAGGTAAGGTTGTTTTGCTTTATCCTCAAATATTCCCAAGCATCCTGTGTGGAGAATCTCTGCAAGCTGGGTTCACTGCATAGGTACATTCCATATAGCTATACATTAAAACCGTCTTCCCACACAGCTGTATTAATTTGCTGTTCTTCTCACAGCTTGTGCATATGCTATTTTTGTCAGTACTTTATTTTCATATGGTAATAAACTACTTGCCGGGCAATGCTTGGAACATTTAGTGTGACATAAAGCATATAACAAATCATTCTGAGTTGGAATTTTTATTATTCATATTGCTGCTGCTGCTTCTGTTTTAAATTGTTTAGTTGACTTGCTGTGCAGTTGAAAATTGCACCTTTAAGTTTGTAATATTAATTTAATTACTTTCAATTGTATTCGTGTTTTAACTTTGTGTGAGAACTAACCTGTTTTGATGTTCTACTGTGACAGATAGGATAATCTGATAATAAATAATAAATTATTCATACATAAATAAATACAACCATCATCAGTTTTCATGTTTTGGCCAGCATAACCTTTTCAGAACTGGTATCATCTTCCTTTGCAGTGGTTCACCCCTCTCAGTTGTCACTGTCTGCTGGGCTATGAATTCCAAAAAGTAGGTAGACTCTGCTACAAATCCATGTTAAATCCCAATCAGTGGCTTCAAGGTTTCTTCATCCTGCAGAAGTTTCACCTCTTCATCTGTCCAGAAGAAGAGGGAGCAGTTGAGGACAGCATCAATCTGCGGCAGCTTCAGGAGCTCAGTGAGTCCAGACTTTTCTCTGACAAATGAAAGAAGGGCAGCACCAACCATCTATACCCAAAGGGACTCAGATATTAATAGTAGCTTTTAACTGTTTGATTTCCTTTGACTCAATATCCAGGACAGTCTTATCAGAAAAACCGAAAAATATGTGTATTGATAGACATTTTCCTGGTTCAGAAGCTATATAGCATATTGCAAGTTCTATTGGGATCTCTGTCAGAGTTATATCTCCCTTAGCACTATCCTGGCAAAACAGATGAGTTTTATCTCAAGCTACTTCTTTCAGACATGAAACATTCCATTACACACATGGTACCACACTGTTCTCCCATCTTTACTTTGCAGAGTAGATACTCTAAAAACCCATTAGCTGAGTGTACATTGAAACAATACAGCATGTTCTGTTGCACTGTATGTTCTATTGGGATCTCTGTCAGGGTTTTATTTTGTAATTTTGCTGATGACTGAAGTTATAGATTGTAAGTTACAAACTTTTTTTTAAAGCTGGCCCTGAATACAGCCTCATTTCAACTGCTAAAAATGGATGGTTCACACATTCCTGTATTTCCAATTTTTTCATGTAATGCTTTCTACTATAGGTATTGTTCCACTTGCTGATGGTCCAGAGAAAAAAGAGATGCTGATCCTGGTGGAAATGGGCAGGTGAGCTATATAAGCAGGAGGGTCCTTAGATAAACAAACCTGCACCTTTCTATCATTTAAGTGATTACAGTTACGTAGGAAGGAGCATTTCTTGAGCTATGGAATCTTGACCCTCTACAAATCCATCACTTAACACCTATCTGGTCATAACAGATAGTAGTAACAAAATTTTAGGGATTTGTCAGTCATTAGGATGGCAAATCCCCTCAAGTCTGTGATGCTGTCTCATCATGGAGGGTGGTGTGATGAGCAAAAAATGCTGAGAGTGTATGTCATCCTAATGGCAGCAGGGTCACCCAAGGTATGAAGGTCATCCAGCTGCCAGCTAAACAAGTGAGCAGGAGCAATATAGGAAGATGCTGAAGATGGATGATCGCTTTAGTGACAACAGGCATCATTTCATACTGCGTGGGAGAAGCTAATACCACTTCTGTATTTTACCAAGAAAACCGCATGGATAGAAAATATAAAGTGATTGATAATATACTGCTGGATCGTGGGCCGTTCTGGTCAAATGGCACTCAAGATACTATTGAGGAAGAGTTGAGGATCTTTCAGAGCATTAGTGGCGTTCATGATGTGGCTTGCCTGCAGGATGTCAGTTGCTGGTGTTGCCATGCAGGAAAAAAATCTGAAGCTGCAAAAACAGAGTTATAAACATGGAACATAAGCACGAACATAGGAAAAATAGTGAGATGAAATGAATTGACTACACATTGAATTCTTAGGCATCTGAAATGAAAAGGACTGGAATTGGGATCATACTATTTACTATTCAGGACACAACAGAGAAGTAATGGTTTTGCTTTCATTGACTGGAAGGATATAGCAAGGACAATATTTGGGTGCAATGCAGTCAGTGACCAAATACTATCAACTGGGCTTCACAAACAACCCTTTAATATGACAATTATCCAAGTTTATGCTCCAACCTCTGATGCAAAAGAAGAGGAGGTTGATGAGTTTTATGGTCAAATTCAATCTGAAATCAACAGAACATGCAAGCAAGATGGTGCTGGTTGTGGCTGGAGATTGTAATACCAAAGTTGGAAATATTAAGGAGGAAAACATAGTTGGATTGTATATCCTAGGAAACTGAACTGAAAAGGGAGAATGACTTATCAATTTCTGTCAGTCCAATGATTTCTTATATACATCACCAGATGGAGTACACATAAATCAAATTGACTATATTACTGGTACTTTTTAAAAAGTCAAGTGGAGGCAGGGAACATGGTATAGACAGGGAAGTGTCTAGGGACATACTGCTGTATCTGAACACCCTGTTGCCTATCTTCATTCTTGCCAACCACAAGAATGGGGCTGAAGTATAGCAGAAGGCAGGCCAGCAACTGTGGCAAATTTCCTTGGTGGCCTAGAAAATAAAGCTTTTGGTATGAGGCCTCAAGGACCTTCCATAACTATTTCTAATTAAAGATACTTTTGTCTTTGTCTTGTTTCATATTTGGAGACCTATAAATTAACTTGAAACTTATCTTACTCTCTTGTTCATTTCTTTCTTCCAGCAAAAAGAATGAAGTAGTCTATACTAGATTCAAAGTCTACCAGAGTGGTATATACAGTCCACCTTTCCTTAACCTCTCACAGCAGAGAGACATGGATGTTACGTTATGTCTTACCCCCATGTATGGGTTTTACATGACTTACAAAAATTCCTCTATTTTACACAGTGTATAATGTGTAGTGCTTTCAGATACACTTGAGACTCAATTCCTGCTAGGGGTTTGAACCCCATAGAATAACATCTGGCTGCCTATGCCTGATGAGTCCCCAGTAGGACAACACTGGTCACATAGTCTCTGTGTCCTGGTGGTCAGTATCTGGATTCAAAGCAACTATAGTCTCTGTTATGACTTTAAAGATTAATTTGTATGCAGGGATGGGCAGTGACATTCTGTTGCAGAAGGCCATATTAAAGACATGCTGATTATTGAGGTGGAATGATGTCTGGGAATACAGAACCACAGGGAGCAGTTAGTGTTGACTGTGATGAGACAGTGGAATATTTGGGACAGGAGAGGACATCCTAGAGTAAGAGGATAATGTTACAGTGAACAATAGGGCCAACTCTCCAGGGATGCAAAACACCACTAGCAGGCAACAGAAAGTAGCATCTGATTTCTGTAATCACATTTATTCATGCTTCCTTTTTAGGACATTCTGTCTTCAAGGGCCATCACGGCTAGACTTTTCAGCATGGTGCATAGCTATTCAGAATTCAGCAGGAAGCCAAGGGAATGCCTTGCAAGACCAGCAGCTCAGCAGGAATGGCATCCCCATTATTGTGAGCAGTTGTATTTCCTTTATCACCCAGTATGGTAAGTTACTCAGAGGTAACTTCAATCAGCCAAAAATAACTTATACTTTATTGTGATCAAAGTAAGCCAAAAACCATCCCTCTTGCCTGAAAGAGAGTGGCTTTAAGCCTATTACACTGCATGGGCAAGAAAATAAGGCACAAGAGTGTGAACCTTGATTTCACTATAAATAAGGCTTGCATTTGATACACAACAGTTGATAGAGTTTTTTCATAATAGCTTAATAGATTTTCTACAGTAATTCCTTAGCTCAGTTTGTGTCCTTGGAAAACTGAGCCAGTTTCTACACTTCAGAGAAGTAATGGAGGACAACAGCCACAGCAGAAAGAGGAGTCACTGAATGGATCGGCTCCTCGGAACTCCTCTCTGGTTTAAGGAGAAGACTAGGGTCACCCACAAGTTTGTACCATACAGCGGTTCTCTGCGAAGAGATTGTAAAATGGCAGTCTCCGGTGGGTTTTAGAGCTCTGGGAACTGGGGAGAAAATCATCTTGCCTAAGCCATGGTTCAGTGCCTTCAAAAGGACACTGGGTTCGCCCATTTGCTCTCTTAATCACCTTAGGAAATTGCCTGGTAATTATTTTTTGAATGTTAAGAACCTTCAGAAGGCCAAGTTTCATTATACCGGGATCCTTCTATCCTGATGAAAGAAGTTTCATGTAAGTTTAAGGATTAAAAAGAAAACAAATTACTCTTGAAAAACAGCAAAAGGGGGACTAGAATGTTGATTTTGGAAGGCCAGATGGACTTGAAAGAATATTTCCTGTGGGTTGTTCAACATTTTATAAAAATATATATGAAGATTTTGAAATTAACTGTAAGAAATCCTCCCATGGGAAAGTTTTGTTGATTGGAAAATAAGAGGGGACTTTGAAGGTTGTATAGAAGGAACCAGAGAGAACTAAAGATTACAATTAAAGGAGAAGAGACCCATTAATACAATGGAGC